TGACCTTAAGCAAACATCCCACGGCCAGGCCCAGACAAGGACTCACCCTCCGGAGACAGGGCCTCGGAGGTGGGCCAGGAGCTGGGTCTCCTGTGCAGGTGGGGCTTTCCCCTCCGCTGCGCATCCTGGTTCGCTAGGCGGGCGTCTAGGGGTGGTGGACAGGGGGGACTACAGTCAGTATTCTCTCAGGGCCGCAGGAGTCAGGGAGGCAGAAGGCGGCTGTAATAGTGAAGACAACAGGGAACAGAGACATGTGACCAACCCAAAATTAAATAGAGAGCCGCGTCACAGGACGACATAGTGGTTTCTTCCTGGCCGGCGATGGCTTCAGAGCATCCGTTTTAAACCCTCTGGGCAAATCTTGGAGACTGCAATGCATTCTAAAGGAGCCTTTATTTATTCTGTTAACTTAAAATGATTCATTGAAATCGTGGAAGACTTTACATAGCTCCCAAGAATATAGTAAAGGCTGGGGGCTAGAACCAGCACCAAGTTGAGCATCAACTAGTCAGTTGCCTCGCTCAGATGTGCAAGAGGCTCCCCTCTCTTCTGGACCCAGAGTCTGGCCCCTTGGTAGCCACGTCAGGGTGGTTTTCACCTTATTCCCACACACGCAATTTCTAGACGCTTCCCGGGACGAGCCAGGAGAGCCACGGGGGATGGTTGCCTCTCGCTGCCTCGGGATGAGTAGGAAACACGAAGCGAGGGGACAGGGTCTCATGGACTCACCCCGGAGGGACTTGAGCTCAGAACACGCCTGGCGCCCGGTAAGAGGGCTCAGGGTCCTCGCAGAGGCAGGGCGTTTGCCCAACTGCAAAACTCGTCTGGAAATGGCTTGCAGAACGGTGCCCTATCTTGGAAGCAGCTCGATTCCTGTTGACGCGGCTCAGCCACCCTTGGGGTCCAGGCCTGGAGCAACACTGGGAAGCTGAGGCTCCCGACACCTGGAGGGCTGGAGAGAGAAAGGGCAGAGGGCGGCAGCAGCAGACCTCCAAGGACAAGCATGGCAGAGGGTCGGCTGGCAGCCCCACGGGGATCTCGTTCTTCCCTTGCACAAAACCATGTGCACACGACCCCTGGTGCTGGGCCACCAGATGTGAGATGGATACGGAGTGCCTTCCGTGGCAGCATTTCCTGGGAACATACCCGTTCCCATCATCCTCCCCTCTGCACCAGCTCACGCCTGCACTTCTCCCACCATTAGACTGCTACACGCCTGGGAGCCGTCACCATTCATTTCCCCCTTCGTGTGAGTGAGTTTCCCAGTTCCTTTCAGAGAGCTGCCTTCGAGAGAGTGAGGGAAGGGAGAGGGCATAAGAGCCCTGGGTGCATGAGGGGAAGGCAGGGGTGCCATGCAGAGGCAGAGGCCAGAACAAGGACCCCTTTAAATAATAAACATTTGCCCTCTGCCTTCTAGTAAGTAGGCCAATGGCCCTGCTCAGGGAGGTTGGTGAGTTGAGTCCGTTCTATCACAGCCAAGAACCCAGCTGGGCCCGTGCCCCCCTGCGTCTAAGAGTCACATGCAAAGAGACCAACTTGCAGCAAGATGGGACAATATTATTGTCTTGCACCATATTCCACTCATCAGTTTTTGGTGAAACTGTGGGTCCCGGGGGATTTCCACAACACTTCCTCTGCAGGTTTAGGAGTGAAGCCACCAGAGAAAAGCCTCAGCCACCATCACAGCCTCGGGCGCGACTCATTCATTACTCATGTTCCCCCCTCCCCCACCAAGACTCTTGGTGATCACCAGTCTGCCTGCCACGCTGACCCCGTTTCCTGCCCACACTGCTCTCTTTGCCTTGTGTTACCATCCTCCCCTTTTCTTCTTGGTTCCGGCTTTGTCTCCCTCTCTTCCTTACCTGCCCGCCCCCCCGCCCCCCATCACAGCGATCCAGGTCCCACTTCCCGTCCTCTGTCCCTTCCTCACCAGCCTGTCTTTCCCGAGTTCTCTCCAGCCCTTGGCCCTGCTTCTCACTTCACCAGACTTTCAAAGCCTTTCAGCAGAGGAGCCTCAGATGTCACTGGCAACGTGAGATCCTGAAGGTTTTCTTCCTAAAATGCCGACCTGTCTCTTACTCTGAAGTCCTGAAGCCATCGGCCTCCTGCCTCAGCCTCGATGCCTTGAGAGAGATGCGCAATTGTACCCTGGGTGCCACAGGCGTGAAACTCAGCAGGACTGCCCTGTGGTTGCCGTGGGAAAGCCACCTGGGCCACCCAAGTGAAAAGTCCCAAGTCAGCCTAGGCCCTGGGCATCTGAGAGCTGGGAGCCGCACTGACTCCTGGAACGAGCTGATGGTGAGGGAAGAATTTCCAGTGCACAGAGGTGGCATCTGAGCTGAAGAAACAGCAGAGGACTCAGGTGCAGAGTCCTTCCTTTTTGCCTTCTAGGAGACTAGAAACCGCATCTGCCTGGTCCATCACAGCTGGGGGCCCAGGATCACTGCGATGAGTCCGTAGGGACAGCAGGAGCCATGGCAAGAGTTGGCTGGTGATTACTGTGGGCCTGGGGAGCAGGAGCTGCCCGGGTGCTCCTCTAAGGTTCTGAGAGCTCCACCACCACACGTGGCTGAGGGCTCCTAGCCTGTGACGGAGGCTGGTACCCACCTGTCTTATATGTGCAAAGAGATGCCGCAGATCTGTTTTTATCAAATACCCAATTAAGAAGTCACACTATTAGGAAACTCGGGAATATGAACATATGTGTTTCTCCCAAGACTTGGAGCTTTTCAGAGCCATTCTCAGAATGGAGGGGGTCATGACTCCCCAGCACGCCTGCGGGAGGAGCTGGAGGAGGAAGAGCAAGCACGCCCACTCTCCGCCTAAAAGAGCAGCCACGAAGGTTTGGAGATTCTGGAGCGTAGAGCCCTGCACTTCTCAGCCCCCTTTTTGGAACACGCAATCCCAGGCTTGGAAAATGTCATTTTGCTGCGTGTTGGCAAGAAATCCTGCAGCTGAGACACTTCTCTCCAAATGTCGAGCATCTTTATTTATCCAAATCTCTCCACAGTGTTTGTTTAAAGGGAAGTGCTAGAGAGTAAACTAAATTTTACAATGAGCATATGGATGGCTATAATTGCTGAGGGTGTTTTTTTTTTTCATATTTGCTAACTGGCTATATATAAAACTGTGTTTCTCTTTTAGAGATTTCACACCCTGAAGGCTGCTAATTTTTGCATGCATATGATTTTCACATGAATGGATGGAAATACTAACATACTCTCCCCCCAGGATTGTCTAAGTGTCCCGGCCCCACTTTGAGAGCAGCCAGCGAAGGGGGCGGGGGAGACCCTTGCATTTTTCCCTCTCAGTTCCCCTGGAAGCCCCATTGGCCTCCTGATCTGGCACAGAAGTTCCACTGATGCTGGCACTTGTGTCAGAAAGAACCCTCTCTGCTCCCCAGTGCTTTCTGCATCGGTCCGTTCTGCCAACCTTCTCTTTGCGAAGTTTACGTAACGGAAATGACATCTGCCTCTGAATGAGCTGGTCATGGGGAACCCAGATTGCAAAGGGTATTTAAATGTACAGCCAACCAAGGAAAACAAATACGTACTTTGGTTTAGCCGTTGGTTTCAACTTCCCATCCCACCAAACCACCAATGCATTTGTAATCCCCGGCCCAGGCCCTGAGCGCCCCCTGGTGGAGATGTGAAGGAGCAAGGAAAGGGCCTTAAGTTTTGGGCATAGGCAGGATCTTTATTGGGGAGAAGAGCTAAGGCCCCAGAAGAGAAACAGCTTCCCAGGTTCACGTGTTGGAGGCAACGACAGTGCTTGAGCTCCCCAGGCACCAGAACACGCCCCCCCGGCTGATGTTCTCCTGCCTCCCTGCTCTAGGACTTCAAGTCTTAAGCTGCCAGAGTTGGTGTGTCTTGCTCCATTTCTGATCCCTCAGGTGGGCATGGACGAGGTGTGCAGAAAGCCATGCCAAGGTATTATGGGAGATTCCGAGGACGATGAAAGCATCGTCGCTGTCTGCAAGGCACTTCCAAGCTAGTCAAGGACGTTCAGGAGCTCTACAGGATCAGGGGCCGGGGAGGGGCTGACCGCAGGGGCCCCAGTAGGACCGAGGAGGAAGGCCCCAGGGTCTGGAGCCTGGGGAGACAGGGAGGGTCTGCAGAGCAAACATCTCGGCCCAAGGCTGTGTTGGCAGGGAGAGCGCGGGCTCTGGGTTCCGTCCCATGTGGGTTCCTGGCCCAGCTCTGTGTCCGCTGGCTAACCTCGGCAGGTCACTCAGCTTCACGGAGCCCCACCTGGGAACCTGGCGCCCGGCGCAGGCTCAGGCGCAGAAGAGGTGCTTTCCACGCTGTGGTTCCCATTTCCTGCTGCTCAGAAGGAAGCAGACATGCGCCTGCTGGGCCTGGGGTAGGCACGGGGAGCAGAGCCACGTCCCGTTCCCATGAAGCGAACTTTCAACTGGGGAGGCAGCAGATAAATGCATATGTCAGGTGCTGTGCCATCTATGCAGTGCAGGAAAGCAGAAGAAAGGGATGGGGCCGAGAAGGCCTGTTCACATGCAATGAACAGAAGGTCCTTTCTGAGGAGACAGTAGAGCAAGAGACCACAGGGCAGGGAGAGGGAGAGCCGTGGAGACATCCAGGCCCAACATTCTGGGCAGAGGGAACAGCAGTGCAAAGTCCCTGGGGCCGAGGAGGACCTGGGGTAGACTGGAGGAGGGGAGAGTGTACCAGGGCAGGAGCTAACAAGGAGCCAGACTGTGTGGGGCCTGCAGGCCATGGCAGGGGTTGGGTTGCCTCTGATGGGAAGGCGCTAGCTGGTTCTGAGCAGAGGACTGACAGACTATGACTCTGAGCAGCTATTCTTAGTCACCACTCCTCTTCCAGCCGCCCACATTCACAGTGGACTCGGGGAGCGTGACCTCGGAGGTTGGTTGAACCCGAGTGTAACCTGGCCTCCGTGCTGGCCCCGACCGTCCCCCCAGGTCCTCCCAGGGAGGCCCAGCAGACCCTCACCCTGGCAGGTGGAGCCAGGGGCACTGTGCACACTCTCTCTTTGTTCTTAGAACCCCCGTCACCAACATAACCCTTTGTCCCCTGCAGAATTCCAGCTTCCCGTGACTGAACCTGACATCAACAACAGGCTGGAGTCCTTGTGCCTCAGTATGACCGAGCACGCCCTGGGAGGTGAGTGTCCTCCTGGCCGGGAGAGCCACTGGCCACGTGCTCTCTACACTCTGGCAGTCATCTGGGGGGATGGGAAGAGCACAAGAAGGGGAAGGCAGGGGACCGGAAAGAGAGGGGCCTCAGGGGCTACTGGACTGTCACCAAGCCACCCCACACCCACTGGCCCACGTGCCCGCTCGTCCTCCTTTTTTGGGAGGTGAGTCAGGAGGACCTGGAGCCGAGCCCGGCCCCCTTTCCCAGAGGCTCGCCCCCCCACCCCCAGAGCGCATGGGAGTCCCACCACAGGTCATCCCAGCCAGCGCAGGGAGCACGTGGCTTCGAGTGGGAACATGCCCACAGCACGGCATTCTTTCCTCCTCGGCACTAGATCCCCCAGCCTGGTCCAAGCATATCCCAACTTGCTCTAAAACCAGGATTTTTGAAACAGAAATCCCTGCTTGTTTTTATATCCAAATGGCTCCACAGTGCCTGGCGCCCCAGCAGGCCGAGGTGTCCTTCGCAGTGAGATGGGGCCCATCTAGTCGGATGTGCCTGTGGTGGGCAGGGCTGTGGCCGAGAAGAGCTCCCAGAAGCAGCGGGTCCTCCCTTCGTCTGTTTGAAACCCTGCGTTGTCACCACAGCCCCGGGAGGACTCCGTGCCCTCCTGGTACTAACTGGGTGCCTTTCTCCAGCGGGACTCGCCGCCAGCCCCGGATGTTTGGCAGGCAAAGGAGAGACGGCCGCTTCTTCCTGCCAGCGTCCGGGGTGGCTCTGAGTCATGGAGATCCAGGGAGGCCTCCTGTGACCCTTCCCTTTGGCCTCGGTCTGGGTGCACTCACCCACCCCAGAGGCGGGCCAGCAGCACACCTGGGCCAA